GGCCCCAGCGTCCTCGCGCGGCTCTTGCCGCTGCTGGGGTTGCTGCTCGGCGGCGCCTCCCGGGCTCCCGGCAAGTCGCCGCCGGAGCCCCCCAGCCCGCAGGGTGAGTCTCGGCCTGGAGGGGCAGCAGTCGTGAGCCTGCGCCCCACCACCCCCATCGGGCCCCCTCCCGCAGCCCCCTCTTCGCGGCGTTCGTGATTTGGGGGTCTTCTAGTCCCTGGATTCGGGTGGGGGCGGCTGGCGAACTGGGGTCTGTACTGACTGGGAGAGCAAGGAAGAGGGACACCGCCGGCGCGGGGGTCTCGGGGGGACACAACGGGGAGGGCAGGGGTCCCTAGGCCCCGCGCCGCCGCCCCCTCCTGCCTTGTTTTTCTCCCTCCTGGTCCGCGAGGCGCTGCTGCCTGAGCCATTGTCTGCCGAAGACACCCGCCCAGGGGCGGGCTGGGGCGGGCGCCGCTCCGCAGCCCCCTGCGGGTTCCTCGCTCCAGACCCCGGCTGGGTGGGGGCGTCGGAATCGGCTGCCACCCAGGCCCAGTCGGGGGCTGGGCGCTTACAGCGGGGTTTGAAGGGGGAAGGGAAGAAGGGGGAGTGGGGAGGCTGTGGGCGGACTGACTGCTCCAACCGGGTTCTTTGCTTTGGAGCTTGACAACCCCCAGCGGTGCCCCTCCCCCTTCAGATTTTGGGGTGCACCTAAGAAACGCGAATCAGCCCCTGAGGGGGGAGGGGCTGCAGTGGAGGGGGCTCTGGGAAAATGGGTACATTGTGATTCCCAGCTCTCGGCGCATGGCAGAGCTGGGGTGGGGAGCCATGCTGAGCTGGCGAGCTGGCTGCGGGCACTGCTGGCTGCGAGGGCAGGTGCCCGGGTCTCTGTCCAGCTGGCTTCTGGCCATTTGTGTCCCAGCCCACCCCGGGTCACCCCCTCCTCAGCTCACCTCGATCGCAGTGGAGACCGTCCTGGGCCTCACCGGGTCCAGGTGGGCGTGTGAGGTAGGGGTGGGGTCAGATCCTGCGGGCCAGAGAGGGTGGGAGACAGTGGGAGACCCGGACCTGGACACTCTACAGGACTTGAGCTCTCAGGACCTCCACGAATTCCGGCCTCCTGCCCACATTCCGGCTACCGCCCCTCTCCCCGCCTCACCCCAGCCTGAAGCCCCTCTGCACTCCTCACCTCTCCACCAAGGAGCTGGCAGGAAAAGCAGGGTGGAGACTGTGGATAAGGGAAGTGGGGTCCGGATGAGGGGAGGGGGAGGGTTTCCTCCTGGAGTGAGGCAGGGCTGAAGCCTGGGAGGTGGATATTACATGGAATGTCAGGCTTTGGGGAATGGGGAGGATGTTCTCAGGCCTGTCTTCCCTGATTTTTGCAGGAGGGGAGGTTTCCATTGGTAGGAAGAGGTCTGAGTTTCTCAGGAAACCTCTCCCTCAAGTCCTGTACCCAGGGGAGGAGCCCAGGGAACTGGCTGGAACAGAGCCACAATAGGGGGCTCTCCCAGGCCGCTGTCTGGCAGGGAGCCCAGGGTGAGAGAAAGGGGGAAGGGAATCTGCTAGGCACCTGCCTCCCACCCTGCTCCCCGACTCCCCAGCTAGTCACTGGTGCCTTCTCCAGGCGTCACCCCTATATTGTTCCCTGGATCCTCGCCCCTTTTCTGAGGCGCTGGGCCTTGAACCCAAGGCGTTCCCTCAAGTGACCATATTCCAGACTTCTAGGTCGCTCCTCCAGCTGCTCCATCCAGCTGCTCCTAGCCTGGGTAGGGGTGGGGAGTAGCCGGGCCTCTAACTTCTCAGAATTCCTACTGTGCAGTGGAGTGTGGGGAGGGGCCAGCTCCTGGGAGACCAGAGAGCAGGGAAGGGCTGAGTGTGTACCCACCCTGCAGTGGGGCTCTGGCCCGGGAGGGAATGAGGTGGGCTCAGGAGAACAGCTGGAAGGGATGCCAGGGGCGGGCGTGGCGCTGGCCCTGGGGTTGGAAGCCTGAGATAAGACACCTGTCACTGCTGAGTGTCAGGCTGCACTTGTGAGGCCCCCCGACTTCCCCATCCCCTAACTCTCGGCTCTGGACTCTTCCTTCCGTACCTGGGCTGCCCTATTCCCCACGTGCCTCTGGGTCCCCCACCCGAGGCCTCCCCCACCCCAAGGCCTCCGAAACTCTCCAGAGATGACACTTCCCATATTAGCAGCAGGGTAGGGGTGAGGCATGTTCCTGAGGGAGGGGCCACACTGAGTCAGAAGGGGTAGATGGCAGCTTGGATCAGAGGAGAGGCGGCCAGGGAGTCCACGAGAACAACTCTGAACAACTCCGGCCGGCTCCTTCCCTGTCACCTCTGTGCTCAGGGCAGGCACCTGCAGGCCGGGGTCAGGGACCAAAGTGCCTGGAGAGCAGGGACTTGGCCTCCTCTTCCCAGATGCACTCTGCACTTTGGACTTAGGTCAGGCAACCCCCACCCCACCCCTCATCTCCTCCCCCTTGTCAGGGCCCCAACTCCCTGCCCATCTCTTGGGAGTAATGAGGGCATTGCCATGGTGACTGACTGTTGCTGACCAGCTGGGAGAGGGTGGGAAGTGCATGTGAGGGGGAGGGGTCAGCAGACGGGCTTGGGCTTAGGGGTCCCAGGGAATCCCTACATCTGGAGGGAAAATCGGTTCCTGTGCAACATTCTGGACCCAGGATCGTGGTGGAAGGACCAGTTCCCTCGCTCCCCTTAGTTTTTTCCTGGAACTCTAACTCTGACTCAGCATCCTACCCCCGCCCTCCCTAACAGCCGTCCCTGACCTTGTCCACTCCAGTTGCTGGGCTGCCCACTTAGTCACCCTTCCCCAGCCCCCTCCCTTTCCTGTCCCCACAACAGCTCCATCGTGCTCAGTGCGTGAGCCTGGGATTTAGAGGCGAACTCCGGGTTTGGAGTCCAGATCTTCCTCTCAACTGCAGTGCCGTATCTGAACTTTTTGAGCCTCAGTTTCTTTATCTGTCAAATGGGACAAGAGCCTATTTTATCAAGTTGAATACATCACTGACTGTAGGTTGCATCCCTGTTTCATGAACCAGTAAGAAAGGAAAACATTGCTGAGACCATCCAGTTATGGTACCATCATCGCAGTCCCAGCCTAAGTTCAGAAATGTTCAAATGTGAGCAAGTGCTGGACTCAGAGTATGGTAGCAGAGCACATCCTCGCGGGCCGGTGGGAGGCTTAGCTGGGCACTCTGTCATCTGCTTCTTATATGGCCTTGGCTGGCCCCCCTCCGAGCTGCCCCCTCTGATCTCGGCCCCCCAGTCTCCCTTCCCCTCCCCTTCCTCACGCTCCTCGCCGTCTCGCCCACAGAGATCCTGATCAAGGTGCAGGTCTACGTGAGCGGGGAGCTGGTGCCCTTGGCCCGGGCCTCAGTGGATGTATTTGGAAACCGGATGCTTTTGGCGGCTGGCACCACGGACTCAGAGGGTGTGGCCACACTGCCCCTCAGTTACCGCTTGGGCACCTGGGTCCTGGTCACTGCGGCCCGTCCCGGCTTCCTCACCAACTCTGTGCCCTGGCGTGTTGACAAGCTGCCCTGTGAGTGCAGGGGCAGGTGGATGGGGGTGGGGGAGCAGCTGACCCCATCAGCCCCTTCCCAAAATAGTCCTTGGGGGCGGAGGGGGCAGGCTTCCCAGCAGCTGCTGCCCGGGCTGGGGTATGCAGAAGGGGCCGAGGAGGATGAAGTCACCGGGATGCAGATAGAGGGAGAGCCCAGCCTCGCCTGGGGGGGCCTGCTCTGGGGCTGACCCGGCCACCCCCCCACAGTGTATGCATCAGTGAGCCTCTACCTGCTCCCCGAGCGGCCGGCCACCCTCATCCTCTATGAGGACCTCGTGCACATCCTCTTGGGCTCTCCTGGTAAGGCTCCCCTCCCCCACGCCAGCTCCGCTTCCTCCCCCTGACCTGACTAGCTGACCTGACTAGGGAGAGCTTTGCTGGGCGCCCTTGGGGAGGTCACTTAACCTCTCAGAGCCCTAGTTGACTCCTCTGGAAGATGTGGATATTGACAGTCTCTACATCAAGTTGAGGTAAGGGTTGACTGTCATCGAGCATGCAAAAAGCACAGGTAGTCAGTAACTTGGTTGCTAATGGGGCTTCTGGTTTCTAGTCTCGCTCAACTCTACCGTGAGAACCCCCTCCCCCTGCCACGTTTATCCTCAGTGAGTCGCCTGTACTCCTTGTGCATCTCCTGGGTGCCTGGCTCGTTAAAGGCCACACGAGGGTGACAGCACCGAGCACCCACCCAGCGCAAGTCTGAGTCTCCACAGTGGTCGCTGTCTACTGACTGGCTCTCAGGCCACAGGCGTTGCCTGGTGCCAAGGCACAAGGGAGGGAAGACCAGCAGGCTGATCGCTGCAAGCCCTGAAATCCAGAAAGGGCAGGAAGTGCTGTGGAGTGGAGGGTGACCCCACTCGGTGTGGGGAAACCCTGCGGGTGAGCAGGGCTGACGGCAGCTGGGGACCGCGTGGGCTCGGGAGCTGAAGGCGGAGCAGAGGCATGTTCAGCAGGGAAATGGAGGTGCAGGGAAATGGAGGTGCAGCGGCACAGGGGGGCGTGAGAGTCTAGGTTGGCTCTGTAGAGGGCCAGGGTGGCCTGGCTGATGGGCCAGGCAGAAGGGAAGCTGCCTCAGGCTGATAGTAGGGAGCCACAGCGGGTTCTGGAGTGGGAGAACCTCCTTGCCTGTTTTTATTCTTAGCTTGAGCCCTTGTTCCCAAATTACTCTGATGTGCTCATCTTCGCTCTGCCCCTGAATTAGACATTTCTAAAATGTCTTCGGAGGTTTCTGAAATGCCAGTGTTGCCCCTGGCTTCCAGCCCTCCCCCGGCCCACGCTGCTTTCAGCAGAAAGCCCAGACTCCTTCGCCAAGCTGACAGCCCCCAGGGGACCTGACCTGCTGCAGCCTGGCTGCCTCAGCGCTCCTCACCACGGGCCTCGGGCGTCCCTTTCCGCGCTGGGTCTTACTCACCCTTCAAGGCCCCACAAGGCCTTCCTGAACTGTGTGGGTCAAGCTCCTTACACCCCACACCCCATTTCAACAGCAAGGAATGGTGGGTAAGAGGGCGGGCCTGGCACCATAGCCTCGGCTTCAGCCAGACCCAGCAGTGTGACTCTGGGCAAGTTTCTGAACTTGTACGTCTGTGAAATGGGGTTAAAGAGGGTGAGAAGGGTGGGGGGGAGGAGCTGGAGAAAAACATAAAATGGGGTTCCTAATAAAGGCACCTTCCTCAGAGCTGTGGCTAATTGCGGGGGGGGGGGGATATGTGTAACCTGCATAATGAAGTGCCCAGCGGGCGTTAAAGTCTAATAAGTGGTAGCTCCTACCACAGCGTCTTGGGACTGCGTCTACGTCCTCTCCGCCCCGACACGCAGACACACGGCGACTCTGCTGCAGTAGCCACTAGCCGCTTGTGGCTATTTAAATTTAAATTAATTAAAATTTGTTAATGAAAAATGAATCCACGTCCTCGGTCACACTAACCACGGCACGTGTGCAAAAGCTAGGTCTGGTGACTGGCACCAGCGCGGGGCGTCGAGGTGGGCACCAGGGGGGTGGCACTGCACAGACTGAACTTGCAGGCGGGAGTTCTGGCCTGCGCCCGGTTCATCTGTGTGCCCGGATGCCCAGCACAGCGCCTACCAGGCAGGAGAGAATAATAACTGTTCAAGGAACTGCACCTCCCCGTTTCACGTTCCTGGAGAAACTTTCAGAGAGAGCAAGTGTCTTGCTCAGAGTCACACAGCCAGGACTAATTTCAGGCCATGTCCCCTCCAGGGTGCCACCCCATAGCTCCTCCCTGAGCCACCACCCTCCCTGGCCTGCCCAGCGGCCTCCCCTCTCCCGGGACCCTTGTTCTCCGCCCGGTCCCCGGGCACCTCCCTCTCCAGGCCGCCGCAGCCCCTCTCTCCATCCAGGTGCCCGCTCTCAGCCCTGGGTGCAGTTCCAGCGCCGGGCTGCCCGCCTGCCCGTCAGCTCCACTTACAGCCAGCTCTGGGCCTCGCTCACACCTGCCAGCACTCAGCAGGAAATGCGGGCTTTCCCTGCCTTCTTGGGCACCGAGGCGTCCAGCTCAGGTATGCGGGGTGCTGGGCATGGAGGGGCCACTCCCCCAGCAGGACTTGGCCCTCAGCCCTGCGCCCCCTCCCTGCAGGCAATGGCTCCTGGCTGGAGCTGATGCCCCTGGCTGCTGTGAGTGTGCACCTGCTGACGGGCAACGGCACAGAGGTGCCGCTTTCAGGCCCCATTCATCTGTCCCTGCCCGTGCCCTCCGAGTCTCGTGCCCTTACCGTGGGCACCAGCATTCCAGCCTGGAGGTTTGACCCCAAGAGTGGTGAGTGCCTCAGGGTTGCAGGGGCTGGGATTTGGGGGGGAGAGTGGGACTCAGATGGGGGAACCCTGAGTTTGATGAAACCGACACTCTCACAGGACTGTGGGTGCGCAACGGCACGGGTGTAATCCGGAAGGAAGGCCGGCAGCTCTACTGGACCTTCACCTCCCCCCAGCTGGGGTACTGGGCAGCTGCCATGGCCTCCCCCATGACTGGTAAGAGTGGGACGGCAGTGGGAGCAAGGGGCAGTGGGGGGGGGGACCGGGAAAGTGGACATCTTCTGCAAGGGAGGACGCTCACCCGTACCTGGAAGGCTAAGCCTTTGCCTGGCACAGGACTGGTCACCATCACGTCGGGCATCCAGGACATCGGCACCTACCATACCATCTTCCTGCTCACCATCCTGGCAGCCCTGGCCCTGCTGGTGCTCATTCTGCTATGTCTGCTCATCTACTACTGCCGGTGAGTACGCCCCCTGCGCCTGCCGTCTGGCCCCGGCCTCCCCCCATCCCAGCCCCACGCCAGGCCAGCTCTATGCCTGGTCTCGAGCTGGGCGACCAGCTCCTCAAGGGCATAAACATGGTTCTGATCCTCAAGGGAAGCCCTGCACTGGACCAGCAGGAGAGGCTTGCCAGGTGTGGGGAGAGGAGGCAGGGCCGCGGGCAGGGCCCTCCTGGACAGTCTGTAGCTGCTCAGCTGGCCTGCCTGTCCCTTCCAAAGGCCCTCAGGCCAGACCTGCCCCTGGTGGGCTTGGTCAGCTTCTCCCTGCTCCGACCCCAAGGGGCACAGCCGCTGACTGCTTCTCCCACAGCCCTTCAAGCTCGGCCCGAAACCTCTGCCAGGACCCAACCCTTCCCCAGAGTCCCACTATACCGAGCTGACCATGCACCCTGGAGGGGCGCGGGCTGGCCGCCCTCTCCTGAGCTCCCGTCTCCCCTCCTCTCTAGGAGGCGCTGCCTGAAGCCCCGGCAGCAGCACCGCAAGCTGCAGCTCTCTGGGCCCTCGGATGGCAGCAAACGAGACCAGGCCACCTCGATGTCCCAGCTTCACCTCATCTGCGGGGGACCCCTGGAGCCTGCCCCTTCCGGGGACCCCGAAGCTCCACCTCCTGGCCCCCTCCACTCGGCTTTCTCCAGCTCCCGGGACTTGGCCTCCTCCCGCGACGATTTCTTCCGTGCCAAGCCGCGCTCTGCCAGCCGCCCGGTGGCTGAGCCTGCGGGTGCCCGCGGGGGCGAGGGCGCCGTGCTGAAGGGCGCCCGTTCCATGGAGGGCCCCGGGGGGCTGGAGCCCGGCGTGGAGGAGTACCGGCGGGGGCCCTCGGGGGCGGCGGGCTTCGCGCACGAGCCGCCCTCGCCGCCGCCGCCCTTCGAGCACTACCTGGGCCACAAGGGGGCGGCCGAGAGCAAGACCCCCGACTTCCTGCTGTCGCAG